CAAGGGTTACCTTTCCAAAATCCTGGGGTTCTTCTTTAACCCTTTTGCTGCCAAGACCTCCAGAACGCTTTACACCTCAGCTGGCCACACCATTTTTGCAATTTTTCCCATTGTTTTGATTTTCTATTGCTACGTTCCTAGCGTTTGTAAAAAAAAACCCAAACCATATATTTTCTGAAAGTACAGGCCCGGCAGAATAAAAAGATAGTTCTACTAATAGGTCCGGCGATAATTGAGCAAATGGTTGTCAAATTAATATTAAACCAATAAAATACACAATTAAATGAATAAAAGAGCACTAAAATCAGTATCAGTGCGCAAAAAAAATACTTTTCCAACTAAATCTAAAAGATAAAACTGTATTGAGTTCATAAATAACCAATATGTGTACATTTTAAATTGAAGTAACGTAAAACTTTAAATAAGCAACTTATGTTAAAGATGGTTTGTGCGCTGTGCTGGTGTATGTGTTGTGATACAGGCGTGCATTTAATCACAACGCACGGCAAGGCCTCACAACGCTTTGCCATGCACTGCCAAATAGTTAAGTTAATGTTATTATAAAGTAAAAAAAAATCAAGCACTGCGATGTTCTTTAACAACGCACCGGAATGCATGTGCATGGCGTACACCACAAAATGGTGCACACTGTTTCATGTGTAACGGCTCCAGGCGGGGAGAAGAGGCTTTAGATTGCGGCGGCCGGCAGCAGAGGAGGGGGGTGCCAGGATTTTTTGTTATTAGCTTGTCAGCTGCTGATGAGATAAATTATTTTAAAGGGGACCATCAGGAAAACTGTTCTGGTATAAGTTCTTGGTCGTTAAAGCGACCATGAGCTTATAGCAGAACTGTAAAAGCCACCGACGTAAGGCTTACTGTCATGGCCAGCTGGGGCCAGCTGTGTTCCGCTGTATGCCATATGTCAGTGGCAGGGAAAGGGTTAATACTACTTGAACTCACCAATCTATAGTCAGAGTCTATAGTGTATTCAGAGTAATTGTCCCACAAGATTATGTGCTCTTTCCCTGTTCAAGAACTATAAATGTCAAAGCTTAGTACTTGGGGACTTTACATCCGGACATCGAGGGTCATGCGGGAAATAATGATATAATAATGATATAATAATCAGCAATAATTCACATGTGGAGGTTTGGCCTTTGGTTTCCTTCTAATATATTGGATGGGGTAAAACAAAATGAGGCCCCTGCAATTTGAACTCACTAGCCACACCAAATCCATTCACTGTGGATGAGTTAGAGAAAACAGGAGCATATACAATTCTTTTTTTAATATACTGTAAAATTCTGCATGACGGGACGTCACACCGTAACATTCTATGTTGTAGCTGGGGAATGGCTGTGCATCTCCAAGATGTCCATTTGACTTTGGTACATCGTAACACTGATAAAATACAACACAACAGACATCATACAATGAAGACACATACAGTTTGCAGTAGACACGTTGCCCGGCCTCTGCAATTTTATTGAATGTACAACAGATATACAGGGGCCAGAGGGTTGAACTCAAAATAAACATTTCCTTGGCAAGCAGAGAGAAAGAAGAAATCATATTTATAAGGAATAATAAATAACACAAACATTACTATGGCATCTTCATACGTGGTTGCTGTGAATATGTGTGTGTATGGATTTATTTAAAAGAATAATTTGTGTCCTCACAGAGATACCGCATATCCATTTTACACCATTTCTACAGTAAGTCCTCAAATTCCTTATGGGGTGTGCAGGTGGTGGCGTGAGTGAAATGTTTTGTTTACCAAGTACAGTAGTTCATAGTAAATCTGTTCACTGGATAATGATAGTGACTATGATTGATTGCATGGTGGACATGAAACTGTCTAAAGGGCTAAAGTGACATTTTTTGTTTAAAACATCAAAGAAAGTGAGCTAGATTCTATAAAACACTTACATAATGTAGTGGTGTCAGCACATAACAGGTACTGCTGAATCTCTACATGTTAGGTCCATTTTACATTTAAGAAGGACCTGAACTGTGGAAGCTGTGCCCAAAATAGGCAAGCAGAGGACAAAGGCCTAGGCACCAGTCTTGCCCTTAGGCTCCCTGCAGCTGGCCTTTTCCCTATCACTGACTTACCATGTCTTGTTTCACACTGCCTCTGTGTAGAGGTGGTCATCTTGGCTGAGGTAGGGCTTTGCTTCCTTATATCATCTCATTACTAGTGTGAGAATATTCAAGAAGCAGCAGGAAAGGTTTGGAAAGTATAGACTAGGAATGCACCGATACCGGTATTTTTCGGTACTCGCCAATACCAAATACAGAGTAACGGAAGTCCCATTCAGGAAGCCAGGTGGCGTGTAAAGACTCGCCACCCGGCTTCCCGATTAACAAGAAAGTCTGTCCCCTCTTAGCTCGGTATGTCCAGCCTGTCCCCCCCGGGGCCTCTCCAGCCTGAACTCGGCCTTCCTCCGGTACACAGCCAGAGCCATCTGGCCGGCCAATCAGGAAGCCGGGCGCTGTGTAATGATGCAACGCCCTGCTTTCTGGTTGAGAGATGACGAGGGAGCATGAAGCCAGCTTCTCGGCCAATCAGAATGCCGGATGCTGTGTCATTACACGGCGCCCGGCTTCCTGATTGGCCAGCTTCCCGACCAATAAGGAAGCCGGGCAGCGCGTCATTAGACGCTGCTCGGCTTCCTGATTGGCCGGGAAGTCGGCATCCATGCTCTCTCATCACAAGTGATGAGAGAGCATGGAGCCGCTTCCCGGCCAATCAGGAAACTGGGCAGCGTGTAATGACGCGCTGCTTGGCTTCCTGATACCGTAAGTAATCGTGCTAGGTATCGGAGCATTTGGGCGAGTACTGGCCTAAATACTCGGTATCTGCACCGATATTGATACTAGCATTGGTATCGGTGCATCCCTAGTATAGACCCACAGAATTATTGAAGCAGGGAGATCCTATAATTGCAGGACCTCAAGTAAAGCTTTTCTCCAGCAAGGAGATGACTGGACAGCAAATAGTGACATCAGCAAATCTCAGGAAACTAGCAGTCAGAGCCAGCAGTGCCTTAGGTGATATCACACTGCAGATATACAGCTGCGAGGCTCAAGGAGAAATTTAAGACAAAAGGTAGATTTTTTCAGAGTACTGCTTTAGGTACAATTATCATTTCTACATGTTTCCTATCAAATAGAAAATCTTTTTATGTTCAGGTTTTCTTGATACATGGTGACCCCCAAGTGCCCAGAATACCTACAACTACTTCCAGGGATAATGGGTTGAGAGCTTGCCTCTGATTCCTAAGCTTCACTCTTGGCCAGTTTAGACCTCTCTCCACAGTAATGGGCTTATAGCAACGCCTAAAAGATGGTAGGGGCAGACTCTTAACTTACTGAAAAATATGCATATCAGAGTACCCTACAATTCCTGGACACCTGAGATGCCTACCATGCAGGCACCTAGAGCTACCTCTTATGTACTGACAGCACTGGCTTAGGCAGATATTATACACTTTTTGTTTAAGTTGTTCTATGATAATAGTCTGTACAGAGCCCCTGTTGATACTGTCTTGTCAGGCTGAGCTCAGTGTTGTTGGAGGAGCAATCTCATATGCAATAAAGTTTTCACAGTTTAAAGGTAAATTCCACTGTAACTGTCACTACATCATTTTGCATTATGCAATCACACTCTTTACATACAAATATACGCAGTGGCTATCTATTCAGTGTGTAATAATTATTATTCCATACATTCATAAAAGGAACAACAGAATGTAATTGTATGTGTTTGCATTTTGTTGCAGAATAAGCGATAAAAATAATGCATCAGAAACCTTCCTACCACAGATGAAACTTCCTGCCGGTGTCTTGTACCTGGTAAACAAGAAAGCAAGAGAAAATATACTGGGAGACGACAAATAAAAGGAAACTTAGTAAAAAAGCGGACAATATAAATTAATATTACTAATAACAATGTCTTTATGCATTCTGTATGGTAGCACACCTGATGAGAACTGCCTCATCTACCTGAAATGTGACAGCACTAGGAAAAGTATAAGATGCTCACTCTTTCCTTTATTTCGTGTTTTTCAAATGTAGAACATATACAGGGTTATTCACAAAAGGGTGAAGAGTTTGGAGAAGGGAGGAGAAGTGAACAATCTAGGAGAAGGCAGGAGAAGTGAACAATCTAGGCCAAAATAGCTGATTTGGAAACATTCTCCAATTCAACTCACTTTCCAGTACAGCTATGTTGTCCTAGATTGCTCACTTCTCCGGCCTTCTCCAAACTCTTCACCCTTTAGTGTAGTGAATAACCCTGTAAGAGAGAATAACAATTAGTAAGGAGAATGCTGTGCCCATTGGATTATGTGGAAGGGCGATTACCTCATACAAATTTTTAGGGTGGGCTATTGTAAACCAAACCTTAATGTGAACCTTTGATTTGCACATAGAGCATCATAATGGGTTCACTTCAATATCGGCCCCCAAGCTGCTGTTCCTCTGCTGCTATATTCATTTGCATGGGTGAAAAGAAAAAGCCTTGCATAATCTCTCATTCTCATTGGAGCTTACACAGGGCTGAGGACTTTCTCCCTACCCCAAGTGTCAGTGCTGGTGCCTATCGATTAGGCTTATAAGCACCCAGTCTTGATTAGTGAAAGGAAGGGGAGTCACATGCTGACCTGTATTTCCCCTTAGAAAGCAATGAGGAAGCAAAGGGAACACAAGTACATGCAGGAAAAAGATTAACCATTCAAGCTTGAAGAGGATCCTTCATGACTGAGCGTTTCTGCATAATCAGTCATTAGATTTTTTTCTGAAACAGTTAATTTGTCTCCTTGTTTAGATTTACTCACTTTATTTGTGTCATGGGGTCAGAGGTCACCTGTGAACTACCTGACCACAAATTGAACACTCGGATGGGACAAATTGTGTAAAGTCAGGCAGGTGACAGGCCAGCAACTGTCAGACTTCAGGTGAACTCAAACTCAACAATGATAGCTCACATATTTAAATCCTGACAGGTTCCTAACAGGATTTGGTAAGCACTTCCTGTCCCTGTCTCCTTGCAGGTAGGTGGGAAGACACTTTCAGGTGTAATATCACGGCATGCAGTGGAAATGACACACATCGCTAGTACATCTAGGCAAGCCAAGCAGTATGTAGTCATTCCCAATATTCACATTATCAGTAGTAGATGCATCCAAAAACAGAGCTGTGATGCTCAGTGCATAAAAGTAAAAAATCACAAACAACAGGTGCAGCACTGATCACATATGTACAGAAGGTACAATGGATGAAGTCGATGAAGTTGTTCTCTCTTGAGATGCTGATAACAAGTGTTGCACTGGTGAATGTAGCATCTGTGACTCCATTGTCTCCTCATTATGTCGTTATGGTAATATACTCCACCATGCAGAGAATGAACCTTGTTATTTCAATGGCAGTCTGTATTACACTACAGAAAGACAATGTCACTTGACTAGTCACAACTCTCGCCCCATAGATACGCTGTGCTCGTTCTGTAATTAACAGATGTTACTTATAAAAACTGGCACAGTGGATGCTTTTCAAGCCTTCTGCACTCTTTTGACTTCAGACATTCAACATTGCTTCTTCATTGCAGCTTCATGTTCTGATGGGATCCTCTTAGAGTGACTAGCACAATGCACGCAGACAATACCATTTGTCTGAGTCCTGTTCTTACGTCTTTGTTTTAAAGTGCCCGCGGCACTGTCAGCTTCCACTGAAAGGGTGTCACTCCCCTGCTCTCCGCTAGGCATGGCATGCATAATTCGGTTGGTGAAGTGAAAGCACTGAGTTGCCTCAAGAAACACTAATTAAAACTCTTCATGCTGGGAGCCTTGGTTCAATTTTTAAGGATAATTCATAGAGGGTATCTTCATCCAAGATGCGAGATTTGTTCAACAGGAACTGGGTGACCTGTTTTACAAAACATATGGTCACGTCAAATATTCATGACCAATTCATATATATCACTGAGTACCATTAATAGCAAATAGTTGCAAACTGCTCACATAAACCCGTCACATAAAACAATAATCATAAATTCTTGCTGCCTTGCCTTCCTGAGATAGATGTACTTCTTCTGATTATCTTATTTGTGAGTTGCAGCAGCATCTTTAGCTATGCTGCTTGTTATTTATATCCCTTCAGGTGGACAGAGCCTCTGTATAGATAGGGAGGTGGGGAGCTGCTGTTGTTCAAATCAGACATTCCCTCTAGATAGCAATTCCAGGAAAAGTTAAACCAATCAGTGAGATGCATTGCTATTCAGCAAGCAATGCTGATGTGCCAAAGCCAGCAAGTCCACTTTAAAGCGGAACTTTACGGAGGGTGATTGGGCAGATCCAATCCTGAGCTCCTCTGAACAAGAATTGGCCATGGCCACTTCCACCCAATCAGCTGTGGTACCGACATTCCCCACCCCACAACTGCATGTAAACAAAGGATCGGGATGCTTGTGCTGATGTCATTTACCTAATATGGCCACATGGCCATATTAGGTCAACTTCATTTAGCAAACATAGGCATGTAGCCATATAAGGTCAATGATGTCACTGCATCCCGCCTCTTTGCTTACGTCAAGCTGCGGGTGTGGAATTCCCCACCAGCAGCTGAATGGGTGGCTCGGAAGGAGCTTCCTTCCATTTTCGGTTGAGGAGTTCAGGTTCTGACTCCATTCAGTCTGAACCTGAGCTCATTACTGTCAGGCAGCGTTTCCCATAATGTGCTTTGCCCATTGGGTGGTCACTGATGATGTAACTCCTGCTCAGCTTCACCCTATTTACGGAGCTCAATTAACATTCACTTTGCTAAATTAACAGTCTCTACCCTGCTAGTAAATCCTTGGTATCCCACTCCCTACTCTCTTTATATCAGGTAATTATTCTAACAGGTTTATGCAGTAACACAATGCATTGGTGGTGAACAAATCACTTCTTAATTAAGCCTAAGAACAGCACATTGAAATGTGACTGATTGGCATGGAATATATGAATGATATTGTCCTGTGCTCAGGTGTGCTATCTAGCTTACCTCTGTTGTGTATTATTCACCAGGGATCTATGAAAATTACAATAGCTCCTATTTAAATGGTGTCTAGATAAAAGCTATCAAAGAAAAACGTAAACTGACTCAGGCGGAGTTAGTGACATCATGGAGCTCAGCTGCATCCTCCTAGCTCCCAGAGAGACCAGTGGAGAAGGAGAAAATCAGCCGCATTAGTTAACTGTAGCACTGAAAATTGTATATTGTTTTTTAATCATTTTTATTTAATAAACTAAATGGTTTTACACTATGAAGATTCTTCCTCTTCTTCTTTTACTTTATTTATGGGGAGTATGTAGGAGAGATCTATGGATTCAGAGGCAGAGAAGTGGAGTTTTTTACCATAAGTTGGGAAAAGGGCTTTGTAACCTTTTTGATTTAAGCCTCGTTCACACTGGACACGGTGGGTTCCGGGCCGATTCAGGCCAGAACGCAATAAAAGTTGTGCTTGAATTAAAAGATGTTGTATGTTTATGCCTTGATAAATGTGTATGTGCACTGCATAATACTACAGATACACCATGTCAGAGAGGACTACCTTTGGTTGGTGCTCTATTCGGTATGGCGTCTGCTGGAACTGCCGGATTTCTCTAATGATATGGGATATCTACAAGAAGACAGCAAATTAAGGATGTTATTAGCAGCGCAGAATAGTCAGAAATACATAATAGCTGCATAAGTTTTGCACTTATGCAGCTAAATTGGAATAACACCAATTTTACAAATGTTCCTATTCACATGGTATACACAAAATAAAATAAAATATAAAAACATTGCTGCTTACCTTTTTACTTGCTGAACATATTTATTTAGCTATGCCCTTGTATGCAATAATATGTAGGTGGCTGGGAGTTCATGTTTACCATAATTAACCCTGTCTGTACTGTACTGGAAGATCTTATCAGAGGTAAACTAGATGTGCAAGACTGTCTGTCCTAACAAAGGGTTAAAATTCTCAAGGCTTGAGTGGTACATTGTTAATGAACTTTACAAAAAACTGTCCCTTATCTCCACATTGCTATCTATTAAGCAATAGAAGCTGCCTATAGTGAACAATGTACGATCCTGTATCAAAGAATCAATAACTAAAAAAGGGTGCTATGTTGTGTGAATGGGAACACTGTATAACCAGTGGTGGCTTCTTAAAAGAGAACCATGGGCCCACCTTTTTTGCCCATAGTTCTCTTCAGGGTCACAGGAGGACATATACTAATGTCCTCCAGTGACCCAAAACTCAGCATATAGCGGGCTATTGAAGTCAGCGATCGGCGGTATGTGTTCGCTGACTTCCCGATCAATTGAGCCAACCTGTGATAGCTTCAGTGTCACAGGTCGGCTTGAATTATGGGGATGAGTGTGTTTCACTCACCCCATAATTCTCCTTTAAATCTGAGTAGAAATATACTTAAAATCCATAATTGGTGGACAACAGAATATGAACCCAACTTAACATAGCAGCAATGAATTCTTCTGACAAGTAGAATAGGGGTCATAGTAGCCACAGCATGTTATTCTTCCTTACTAGCTGTGTTCTTACACTTTGTTCACTACAGCAACAAAAACCACAATTATTTTCCTTTGTTAGCTTTGGCCTTACGGAAAAAGTAATTAAAAGTTAAAAAGAAAACCAGAAAGAGTCTGCATAAAAAATAAGGGAACTGATGTTAGAATTATGCACTAGGACACCGTTGTTTTCAAAATCACTCTGCAATGAGCTGTAAAAAGCAGGGGCCAGGCTTTGTAATGTATCCTGAAAGAGAATATATTATGTACAGTACCTAGTAACTGATATAGTCAACCTTATGCTATGTATAAACGTTGATTTTGTAGTAAGATGATGCAGTTATTTCTACATGTACGGTTATGAACTTCTACATGTACGGTTATGAACAGCAGTTCTAGAGCTAAAATGTTACAATTCCCCTAGACACCTAGAGGCACTGCCCATCTGCTGTACAGTGGAATCTGGCAGACAGCGAGCAGCTCGGACAGCCAACTTTTCCAGTATTGCCTCAAAAGAAAAACACTTGCTGGCTAAATGTACTGTAGCTTTCTTTCATGTATCATTCGTTATGCAAACTGGTTAATTTCCTTCATTTCAAAACTGGGACTTTCTCAAATGGATTCATAAGGTCTGCTTTGCTTACCCGAGCTGCTTATTTTCCCTGTTTCAAAACTGGGACTTTCTCAAATGGATTCATAAGGTCTGCTTTGCTTACCCGAGCTGCTTATTGTCCCTGTTTCAAAACGGGGACTTTCTCAAATGGATTCATAAGGTCTGCTTTGGGCTTACCCGAGCTGCTTATTGTCCCTGTTTCAAAACTGGGACTTTCATAAATGGATTCATAAAGATTGCTTTGCAAATCTCAGTTTTTCCATTTTAACACTGGCTGTATATTGCTATAACTTTTTGTCTGAAAATAATGAACAATCTTTGCAAGTGATGGGCATGCTCTCTTTAACACAAACAGCACATCTACTATTCATCATATATGATATAAACATCTTCTGAACCACAGCACTGAGCATCACAGTTGAGCATAATACATTATCAGCTTAATATTTCCAACCCTGGGCCAGATCCCCCCCATTCACAACTCTGCGATAATCCATCCTACCAAGGACTACTTAATGCGGAACGAAAACCAGTAGGGTGCTGAGAGTACAAGTCCTTACAGCATTTATTTAGGGATGTCTGTCTGGTGTCCTTTACAGTTCTTTGTGAGGAATTTGGTCCCCCTCATATCTCCCTTTTCAGCTATCTGCAGCTTGCGCATGCCATTAAAGCCGTTTAAAATCAACAAATTAGCCGAAGGTTGATAAACTTTTCACTGTGAGGAATCCACTAAATTAATTTCCAGATATTATGCAGAAATGAACTGTTCCAAAACTCTTAAGTTCCAGTAAGCCAAGAAAAAATGGCAGACCATGATCCCCCAGCTCACATTGAATGACTGGTTGGAACTTGGGGACACTTATAGGTCGTTCCTTCAAGGATGTATTCATACAACTCAAATTCTACAAAATATATTACATTCCAACTGCCCTTTATAAGCTGACATTATGGAGGGAAGATAGAGTGTAATATATTTTGCTTTTGAATATGGTAGATCCCATCACACTCCTGACTGGAAAACCCCAGGGGGTGCTGGAGCGACCGCAGATGCCAGAAACTGTAACTGGTAGAAAGTCATTCTCACTCCAGAAACTTTTGTAGTCAATCTGCTTTATTGACCATCAAAGTGTCACATAAATGTAACGATGTTTCGAGACCGTCTGGTCTCTTCTTCAGGCAAAACATTTTTGTTTTGCCTGAAGAAGAGACCAGACGGTCTCGAAATGTTGCTAAAGTTATGACACACTTTGATGGTCAATAAAGAAGATTGACTACAAAACCTTCTGGAGTGCGAGTGAATTTCTACTAGTGACAATATATTTTATTTATAAACACTGCAAGATCCAAGCTCACGTCTTTCATTGCTTTTGTTCTTGAGTGTATGTACAGGGATTTTGGTCTGATATTACTGTCTTTGTAAAAGTGGCCCTTGACATGCCAAATGTTTGTAATCTCATGATTTGCCAACTGGGTGTCCTTGATGACCTCTCAGATGACTTATACTAAAGCATCCTAGAATCCTTTTTCTTTATGCCAAAAAACTATTTTTTTGACATGGAGGAAAATATTGCCTCCAACTCTTGGAGTATGAAAGAGACAAACATTTGTCCAGCACCTGTCAGAGTCTTTCCGCAGGTCCCGACGATATCAAAACAACTGGGCGTAGTCAGCCATGTCACCACCCAGTTGTTGTCATTTAATGATAGCCCAGTGTCCTCAAGCAACCTGAGGACGCGGGGCTGTCACTGAATGACAACTGGATGGAAGCAGCTGTGACATCACGGCTGGCTCCACCCAGTTGTTTACATTTGCGGGGACAACGTTCTGCTTCCGCTGACTGTTCTCCCTGCTTCGGCTGTAACTTTGGCTCAGCCGAGCCGAAGCATATGCATTCCGGGGGGGGGGGGTACTCCGGCGGCCGAAGTTAGCCGACTCTTCGGCTTAATCCTTCAGCACCTTCGGGGGGAATAACCCTCTTAGTCTCACAACTTCAAGATATCTACTGACCGTCCATATTATCCCTTTTGCTAACTGTGCATAAACATTTCACCCCCTCTTTTTATCTTATAAAAACTCGATGCGCCTTAATAAAGTTAGAACAGATCCTTTGGACCAAACTTTTCTGGCATACTGTTCTCTGCAATATTGCATATTGATAAAGATCGGAGTCTCTACCAGAAATATAGAAATATCAATAACACCCCCTAAGAAGATTCAAGCTGGGAGCAGGGCTGTTGGTGGTCATTTCTAGGTTTCACAAAGAGGATATCTCAGGTGTGCGGTGGCTGTGCAAATCAGCAACGCTGCTATTAGATTCAAGGTAAAGAGTAGAGTATATTTATTTAGCATTATGTCATAATTCTCCCTTAAACATTTGCTTAGTCATATACCCAAGATGGTAGAACACTATCACACATGGTATTCTCAAGTCCTTCATACATGGAACAAGCAAGGGGCTCTTGTTTATGATATGAAATAAACCCAGACCATGAGCTCACACTGTACCTGCTTGTAATTACTGTCTGCAGGGCTACTCTTCTTGGAAATACTGGTCTTAGAGGCAGGAGAGCCCTCAGCTGTTATATCATACTGGTTAGCTTGAGTTAATGTTTATCATAACAAGAAGGTACCCACCATTCTCATTTTTGAAAAGTTTACAAGGCCTTCCTCTGTAAAATTGGGCGTGCCTTCTTCGATAAATGCCAGGTCAGTAAGGTACATTCCCAGGTAGGGTACAGAAGGTGGATTACAACTGCAAAACACAGAGAGCAAAAAAAAATAAATGCATTTTTAACCGCTTGAAGACCAGGTGTTTAGACCCCCTTCCTGGCCAGGCCATTTTTCAGTGTTCAGCGCTGCAGTACTTTGACTGACATTTATTCCGTCATGCAATGCTGTACTGAAATGAATTTTATACCATTTTTGGGGGATAGATAGAGCTTTCTTTTGGTGGTATTTAATCACCACTGGGGGTTTTATTTTTTACTATATTCAGGAGAAATTACTGAAAATTTTTTTTTTACATTATGTTATAAAACAACTAATATTACCCACTTTTTTGGTAAAATATAAAAGACGGGGTCACGTCGGGTAAATAGACACCAAACATGTCAAGCGTAAAAATTGTGCGCACTCGCAAAAAACTAGTATACCCAAAATTGGCCATAGGCGACGCTTTAAAAGCTTTTACCGCTCATCAGTTTAGTGTTATCAGTGATTGATGGACCTAGAACTATTGCTCTCATTCCGACGTTCGCGGCGATATGTAACATGTGCGGCGTAATGGGCGCAATCGTCGTTTTCGCAGGTATGCCCACCTGACGTATGTTTACATGCGTGTATGTAGGGGTGGGGACTTTAAAAAATGTTTTTGTTTTTTTTAAATTCTTTTTTGTGTAACCTTAAAGAAATTGGGGGGGAAACTTTCAATTTGTTTACTATTTTTTTTTTCCACTTAACTTTATTGCTAAGTGTAAACAATACAGGCATTTTTTAATCGCTTTGCTGCCATTTGCCTTGCTGGTCTGATCCAGCAATACCCAATGCCTGTACTGCTTACACTATTGTGAGTACGCATTTTTTATTTAACAAATTGCATTTTATTGGACGTTACGCACTATGTCCTTGTCCTTTTTCTCTTTCCACCTGGATTTATACTGGTACCTGTGATCTGAGGAGACCTTTTCTGTGCATGGGCTTCCCTCCCCCATTAAGAAGGGAAAAAGCGCATTTGACCTAGCTCTGTAGGTCTACCTCCCCAGGTGAACCACTCACTTGATGTTATCACTCACTTGGTGGAGGTGAAGGTCTGCCTGCATTGTGTGATTATCCTTACCTGAGAGTTATATGCAGATTGGCTGCGAATCATCTGAGGAATTTTTTTTTTTGCACAATCACCATTGTTTGATTTTGTTTTTTCCTTGGGACATTTTTTTTGTCTACATTGCTTTTTTGTCTTTGTGTAGATATTTTATATGTCTCATTTGTTTGAAGGCTCATATATGTGACTCATTTACATATGTTTCACTTTATTAGATATGTATGATTATTAGTTCGGCACAATATTGTTTTTCACATTTTCCAGATATTTAGTTATATCCTTAGTGCTTGGTAGCTCTTATTTCCACATTACACTTACTGGCGCTGATCACCTTTATTGTTTATTTTTAAATACCTGCTCTACTACCTATTATGTTTTGTATTCCCCATCCATTTGCATTCATATTTTTTTTAAATTGCCAACACTCTGAAATGACAAGTATAAAATTAAGCATGTGGGATGTCCACGATACATATCCCCGGAGGCAGTGTGTCCGCGAGGGAAACAGCTTTGTCTAACAAGGAAGATAATGCTGGACTCCACGGACTAGTATGTATGTTTTTTCATTATCATACAGAGACAATTATTAGTGATGGAATTTAGTTTAACCCAGGTAGGGCAATGTTCTTTGTCAAATTTCTGCCAGTTTTTTTTATTGCTGTCCTCCACTGAGAAGATTGACCTTCACTTACTGTCTCTTTGACAGAAGTTGGAATTGAGGGAAAATCTTTCCAACTGGGAAACAGGGTGATCCCATATTTGTGACTGAAAGTAACGTTGATCTAAGAAGCAATGCACATATAATGAATTGATCTATATTACATAAAAACTTTAAGATATAAAATAGTTTAACTGACGCAGTACAACATTAATCAGTATAACTCTAACAGAAAAAGTAGCACATATTTCTTATCTAAAACTTACTTCTTGAGAGTTTCTCTGAGGTTTTTAAATCTTCCTTCCGATGAGACAGTCTTTTGAAGTTTGTCCATAAGTGCTTTTGTCTAAAAAAAAAAGAAGATTATCCATTAAGTTAAGTCATAGGTCATATTGCAATTGACCCCCTTTTCTGCCATGGGCTGGATACTAGTATTTGGACCTGAGACATCTAAGCCAACTGTTAATTATTGATTCTTGCTTTTGTATTCCCAAGCCACTTAAATATTTAGTGAAATTATAAGTTCATTAAAACAAATACACCAAATACAAATTTCTAAAATTCCAGCTAACTATAACAGATGAGACTGGCACTTATATCTAGATCTGAAACTACTAGTTCTTAAGAAACTGTAAAAAAGAAAGGTACGCACAAAAATAATCAGAGTATTTCAAAACCTTGACTACTTCACTTGTTTAGCATTCTACTAAATGATACCAGTAGTGTAATGAGGCTTTTTTATTGTACATGTGCAAGTTGTAATTGAGGAAATGAGGAAACCTCTCCAAAGTGAGGGACATGCCCTCCTAAAGAACTGGCGCTGGGTTCAGAAAGCTTTCTGAACACATGGAGAAATCAGATGACCATGCAATCTTTTTTGTCTCTCGTGGAGGATGGGGTTGTCACCCCAATATATTAGAGCAGTGCCCACTTCACGATCCCCAAGATGTTCACAAACTCTCTCTCTATTAACAGATCTCTGATACCCCATTGTGCACTGCCGATGGAGATCTGGCTCTACTTACCTGTTTAGACACTTTGGCCCAGGTCTTCTTGAGTCGATAGATTGCACTTCTGTTCAATGCCGAGGTGATTTCCAGCACTCCATTGTAGTTGTGCATGCATCGGCAGATATCAGCTACCACCACCCACTTCTCAATGGTACTGGCTCTAGAGTTAACATCAAGGTGGCTCATAATTTCTGAGGCTACAAGGTTACTCATCTATTGAATCCACACAGGAAATAGAAGAATGAAATAATAGATTATATGGGTATGGATACAGAGGTTTTCATATGTGGGCAGATTCACTAAGCTTTAGATCTGCAATATACTATACATTTTGCTGGATCATGAATGTGCTTATCAAATATATACCTAGACATCTGACATTAGTGTCATCAACTGAAACACCATATTTTTCTATCATCCTAATACTTAAGAAAAAAACATGGCAGATCAAATTTTGTAACCATTAAATCAACCAAGAGAGTTTTTTTCTTGCCAATTTAGATGTCTGTCACTTGAGACAAAACAGCTGTACCAAATCTTTGCAAGTGGCTGGTGAGTCCAAGGCTGGATTCTCAGATGTAGTGCTAGTGTGCAGTGAGTGTATGGTTGAACTGCCTGCCAACCACTCATCATAAATATATGTAATAGAGGACATGTGGGCAGACATTCACTGGGACACCTGTTGAAGTGTTCCATGGTTCATAACTACTTGATTTTGCTCCAACAGTCCCCATTCAAACTAAGGTAGAAAGTTACAGTTTAACGTGTATCATGAGTGCTTCTATACAATTTTATTAGTATAGTATTGGTACTCCACTAGGATGGTTGCTAACAATCCTCCCATTAACATTACATTGGCGTACAAATTCACTCAATAGGAATTTACACAAGGGTCAAGTTACACTCCATGGGGAAACATAGATATAACCATGTGCCACACACCCATACATTTTCTTTTCTGTTCTTTAAAGCGAAACTAAACTCACGAGTTAAAGTAGTATTAAACTCTCAAACTTTTTTCAATACTACATTCAGAGTAAACAAATATACATTTCCCAGCAGAGCATTGCTTTACATTTTTGCCCAAACACTTACAGTCATCATGTTTCTGAACAGCTGCTTCCAAGTCTCTCAGCTCGGCTTCCCTGAACTTCCTGTCCAGTACAAGTTCACAAAGGACAGTGCCGACTCCAACAACTGTTCATCTACTAGCCTACAGAAGGGTGGAAGGAATAGAGGGAGCCAGGGGGGAGGGGAGTAGCTTGATTTGCTGTGTGTTTGTGGAGACACACACAGCTTACTAGCACACACAAGGGTGACTGCATAGCACTCTGCTTGAGAAAGGAGTCCCTCTAAAACAGGAAGTCAGGGCCAGTGCTCAGGGGACCAGCTAATTCTACAGGAAACTAAAACTTTTAAACATCAAGGAGCAGGAATTGTAAGTGATTTCATCAACATTTGAAATAGCTTAACATCCTTTTGACTTTAATATCACTGTAAATCACTCCCCCAATGGACTATAATCTCAATACAAATGAGTAAACTAAATGTGAGATTGTAGTTTATCACAGGAGTGAGCGTGGAGAGGTGACTACTTTACAACACACACAGGGACCATGGGGAACAAAAGTAGCCACCCCCTAGAAGGAAGCACAAGGTCAGCACGAATTGAGAGATGATTTGAGGATCTACAGCTGAGTGATACACAAATAAGCTGCAAATGTGTTAATAGTCAGGGTATGTGAATGCGTTTGTAAGATTTATCTCCTGCTTTTAATGTCACTTTATATTGGTTATGTGTGAACCAGGGGGGCCTGAATTAACCCCTGCCATCTTGCATCTCTGGAAGTCTCCATCAGGTGAGATCATGTCAGTTGAGTGGGTCCTTCCCACCTTGGCATATCAACTCCTCCAATGTATAAATTAAATAAAAAATCTGGAAAATGGAAGCAACAAATATAACCCCTTTAATGCATTTAGCAAGTGGATAAACACAGCGTCACAGAGCTCGTTTCTTGATTCCCAGAGAATTAAAAAAAAAAAAAAAGTGACTGACAAGTTAACCAACTTAGCATCTACCTGGAACTGAAATTACCACTATGGTGGGACTGACACATCAGCTAAATAAAATATCACCAAGTCAAAGCTCAGAATCACATTTGGGACTGGCAGGTAGCAGCACAGAATGGATGTAAATACTCACATCATTGAAATGCTGGCTGGTTTTCATGATATACGGAGTCCGGTCACTCTTATCTGGTTTCATCCAGCCCTGACCAAGAAACTCTCTAGAAGCAAAATAAAAATATCATGTAATCCAAAAAAACATATCACCTCTCTGGAATCAGGGCTAGGTGGCAGTGACTTACTGGTATGGTATACTCCGAAATACTATATGATCCAGTAGAGTGATCTGCTCAGCTAATTCCATTGCTGACAGAGTATCCAGATATTCTGTGTGGGGACCCTCTGACTGCAAATAAAAGGCATCAGACATCATTGTATGACCACCAGACTTTTATGACAAATATTCAGATTTAAGAAATATGCAGATTTATTTCTTATTTATCTTTTCACAAAACATACTGCTTTCTTCTGGCACTAAATATGGAAAGGCATTTTCCAATTTTATAGCTACGAGCAAATACTTTATATAGTCAAACTACTGGAAAAAAAGTATATATTGCAGCTGATTTAATAAAGAAATGAAGAATGTTCACACAATAAAAGATACACTTCAATTATCCAATCATGTGCAGATAAAAAAAGAAAAAGAAAAGTAGTTGCTATTCACATGATGGGATATTTGAAGTGAATCTTCACTCTTTTCTGTGTGAAAATTCTCAACTCCTTTAGTAAATCAGCCTCATTGTGCCCCTGCTTGTACAAATACATAAACTCCATAGTTTGTCTATTTTTGTACTGTGACAAAAATGAAGCAATTGTCTTTTTTTTTTACAGGTGAAGCTAATTTGACAGAAGGAGGAGTAGAGGTTTATAAAGAACAGGAGGTGATCTGATTGGCCCTGGTCAGTTTTGTAGGACTTTTGTGATAACCTTTCTGTTCAACAAGTAAATTATATTTTATGGTACTGTTCACAAACACTATTTTGAAATTCACAAGTCAAAGAGACTTTCTTATTTCATTTCTACTTTTTGATATATACATTTGCTCTTATGAAAAGTTAAAAGGTGAAGGTGGGAATTCGTAGAGGATTAAGATTTCCGTTTTATCGCTCTTCATTGCTGAGTTACCCTCTATATTGTTAGTGTATCTCTGGAAGGCGGTAGGCAGGTTGCATGAACCCACCATATCACGTTACAAATATCTGACAACCATTGTGTCTCATGAATACAGACAGCTGCTAACAAGCCAAACGATGCAGTTTTTATTGTTTCTGTTAATAACTGGTCTTTCAGACCAACAACTATTAAATGCAAGAGGTCACACTGGGCAATATGAAAAGCAGTAGTTTTCGCAGCTGGTGGTACATAGACAGAAAACACAAAAAGGAACCTAACACTCCAGCTATTGGCTAAATATTATTCATATGCAATATTTTGTTTTCATCTTACTTATAGGAAAACAAGGTTTTTTAAAATTTGTATATATTTTTTCATCCCATAGTAAATAGATAAAGAAAATACATACCAAACCCCCATACACCCCCTTTTTTAAAGGAGCTAACCCTTTTGGGTTGAAATGTTATTATTAGTAATCTATCTTTTGAGTTTTCCATTTTGAAAAACAAAAGGTAGCAATAGTTACTTCATATTAAAAATACGTCTATATCACAAGATTAAAAAAACACAAAAGTTTAAAAGAGCCCAGCCTGTAAGTAAGAGGACTTATACTTGCCTGTCCTTCTGCAAGTACTGCTGCTGATCTTCACTCTGTTGCAGAGCTAAGCTTGTTGAAGAATCTTTAGAATTAGACACATCCAGGATTGCCAGATGCTTGGTCTCACTTGCACCCATGTGCTGTGGTTCCTTCAGCCGACCCCTAAGTCACTACAGGACATCATAGTTATGTAGAGGCTGGTAGATAGAACCACAACATGCAGCAGATGACCAGGCATCGGACACTGCAGGAAGTGTGTTGGATGTAGAAGATTTTTTCAGTCTCTGTAGCTCTGAAGCAGGTGGCACAGGTAAGTATAAGTCCTTTTCTTTACAGGCTGGGTTCTTTTCAACATTTTCTATCTAATGACAGAGCGGCTTTAAAAAAGGCAAATGTGTTAATGAAGTGTACTTACCAGTACAAATATGTCCTCCATAGACAGATGGCAGTCATCTTGTTCATCTTGAGAAAGGCCACTGATACAAAAATTGGCAGCAATTAATATATTAAATGAGCAACTTATTATTAATTGAATGATTTACATGTGATTGGCATGGGAAAAGCACAGGTTCACTTTAAAGAACATACACCCAAATATTCATGCAGATATCATAAATGCACACCTCTCTGATTCTCCCCTTCTTTTAAGATGCTGCGCTGACCCTTGGATGCCGCCACATTTATCAAGAAAAAAATATGTCACCAGCACGTCAATAAATCTTTATTCAAAAACACCTTTCTTGGCATCCATTCAGCATGTCAAAGGATAGTTATGGTTCAGAATCTCGCAGGGTCCCTTAATCAGGAAAAGTGGTCACTTTGCCTAGTAAAGGAAGCCTATGAGATTCCGAAAAAAATTAACTATCATTTGACATGCTGAATGGCTGTCAAGAAATGTGTTTGTGAATAAAGATTTAGGGACATATGCTGGTTACATATTTTTCGCATTTGCAAATGTTGACTACACCATCCAGAGGTAGCTTTGCTGCACATTCTACTGTACATTCAAGTTTTGAATGTTCATATAACTTGGCTGATTACAAGAAGGGTGGAATCACTGCAAAAGTGTAGCATCAATCAATGTACCGGGTACAGCACGAACCTAAAACAACCACCCTGCCTGTCCGTATGCTAAGAAATAAATTGTACTTACCTTAATATGTTACTTGCAGCTTTCCTTTCCTGGGGTAGGAGATCAGGGTCACGCAACACATCTTCCAACAAATTCACTACAATCATCTTTACTTCACGATAGAGATCAAAATCCTTTAGAAGTAAAATACAAATATAAGCTATATGATGTACACATAGGGGTATATTTATAAAGCAGTGAATCTGACATTTTCCAAACATTCACTGCAGGTAAATCCTTTTGGGGCATGTATTTTCAATGACAGTGATTGAGTAAATGTATATCCACATTTGCTGACAAATTGGGATAATACCCACTTTATATTTGTTACATGTTCCCAATCACATAGCATAACATAAAACTGCTGCTTCCAATGTTAGTTCTTTTTACTTGCTTAATAAACCTACTTAGCTTCCCTATTATGTAATTTTAAGGAGGGGGCCATCGGGAGTTATGTTTACCATAATTTACCCTGTCTGTACCAAGCTAGCAGATTTCATTATCAGTTGTAAACTAGATTTGAACGTTGTCTGTTCTAACAAAGGGTTAAAAATCTAGAACAGGGGTAGCCAAACTCTGGCCCTCCAGCTGTGGTGAAACTACAAATCCCATGATGTATCTCTCTCTCTCGCAATGCCTCATGGGATTTGTAGTTCCACCACAGCTGGAGGGCCGGAGTTAGGCTACCCCGATCTAGAAGCATGGCATGTTAATGAGAAGAAGAGTGTGTCCCCAGACTTTCTATTGGGACAGACTCCCTTTCAAATTGCAGAAGCTTGCTGTCTGCACAAAGGCCTGTTTCAAAGAAACATCTAAAAGGTAAGAAATAAGTTTTAAAACATTATTTTTAGGTTTTCTGTGTGAATGGCAACACATAAACATATCGAGGGGTTTTCTTAAATTTGACTGCAAAAGTGGAAATACCATTAGATTAAATGGAAATGTCCATTAGAGCTTTAATAAAAAGAGCTTCACTGCAATGACCACTAGATGGCACCAATATCAAGAAAGTACTGGAGTGAACGGCGTGCAACAGCTTACCAACTAGCAATAACTCACAGAAGTCTGTATCTGAGAAATTAAAATTGATATGCACAGTGTTTTATGGGAAATACTATTTGTGACATTTTGGTCTATTTATAAAGCTGCTCTGGACATCTTTACTCATTTATACCATTTTAAAAAAAAGTGAATATAGAGAGATTTTACCACTTCCTGGCACCTATATGATAACAAATTCCTTGAATATTTGCACCATCTTTTAGTTTTGAATGGAGTGTATAAGGGTTATATCCTCTGTAAGGTTCTTTTTGCTGTCTGAGCCCCTGTTGGTGTTGTTATGAATCACCTGCACTGCACACAGCGTTGTAACCTTATTGTTATTGTCCGTGATGCTCACAGTGATGACACGGATGGCACTGTGTTGCTTAAAGTATTGGATGGAAAATCACCACTACTCACAGGAATTAAAGCATGAATTATTGTTGCTTTTATTGGAATTTTGTCACATGTGTCATCTAAGTCAATGTTTCAGGGCCACGCAGGGTCCCTTCTTCAGGGCAACATAGTGACATTTTGTCACCAGGCCCTTTAGACATACCCAGGCCCTTAATCCGAGCACTGACCTGGCAGGGCAGGAAAGGGGGGGTATGAGCGAGTATGCCGATGAGGACAAGGGCCACTGTGAAAAAATCCTTTAATTGACTTAATCCATTTTTTGACAAGTCTTGTTTTTGTTTTGTTTTTTACACTTTTTACACTGACATTTTCCTTCTGTTTGCTAACTCTAAGGTGGTGAGCATGAATGACCGAGATGAATGCTGCTCGGCTGCATTTGGCTCTTCACTCTCTGCTGTTCGGCCCCTTTGAGAATAGGGGTGAACAGCAAGAAATGAACTGCCGAATGTTCGCCTCAGCCAATCCAGATGTTACGTTGGTTGAGGCGAATAGGTTCTTCCCTTCAGTTTGGCCGAACGTGCTGAGGCGGTTCGGACTAATCGAAGGGAGGTGAAGTGAGCAGAATAGCCGTACAGAGCTGCAGTGCATGGCCAATGAGGCTTCGGCTCACTTCAGTTATTCATTTGGCTGCCTCCGGCAGCTTAGTGAGTAACCTTCTATATAACAAGAGTGTTTTGGTAAAGATTGCAGAAAAACAGTGAGGATTCTGAAAAATATTGGAAGAATTAAGTTTTAGACTGAGTAATCAGACAGACGTGTTGACAAGACTAGTCAGGAAGCATTACTTTTTGAGTTAGTCCACAATATGACTCAAATACTGCAACCAAGTATTTATGGAACAGTATATTGCAAATGTGATGAACGTGTCTTCATTTTACTTCTTTTTTTTTGCCAACAGATTAAAGCAAACTCTTCAATGTGAGTCCAGTACTGAAGAACATCTGTGTCACCAGAAGCTTCATGTTGGACAATAGATTTGTCCTCACATGATCTCCTCAGTATAATAACACACAGCTGCACAATTCATCCTGATTCCACAAATATTAAGACAATGGCTGCTGATGATTGTGTTGCACCAGAATTGCTGTAAATCTGGGTACTTGTTTTGGAGAGAGTACAATCACTAATAAGTGGCGTACTTTTCTTTGTTTACAGATGTGTCACACAAAGTACTGTGAGCACTGCGTGTTTGGTGTTCTATTATTTTGATCCTGCGCAGGAAAAAAAGATTGGTTTTATTTAAATAAAAGGAACAGAAACCTCCCCCTGCCATTGATTAGACAGCTCATGGAAAAATGGGCAAGGGGCCATCATGAACATGAGCTCTTTTCCCCAATAAATAATGAAATAATGTAATCATTGCAATATTGGTTAAACCATGATAAAATATTGAATGGGAGGCAGATGATCATAAGCAACAGTGAAATGATAAATAGCAGCGGTGGTCATTTTGTGATGTGTATATACACTGAGTGGCCAGTTTATTATGACCACCTGATGTTTGTAGGCAAATTAGCTATAATTAGCTATAATTTTGTGCTGAAGTTGCTAGAGGGCCAGACCATTATAAATAGGGAAGCAGGTTGTTTACCACGACAGTAGAAGTGATGATTTTCTGAAGATATGGGTAAACAACGCAATTTAACAGCCTTTGAACGTGGGATGATTGTTGGCGCTCGGAGCCATGGAGCGAGTATCAGCAAAACAGCAGAATTTGTTAAATGTTCAAGAACAGCTGTTGTTAAAGTGTTTAAAGACTGGACTGTCAGACGAAAATCTGGGTCTGAACGTGCGAATGGTGGCCGTCAGCGACTAGTCAATGTTAGGGCAGAACGGGGAGTGGCAAGACTGGTACAAGGCAACAGAAGGGCAACAGTGCAGTGTCAGATTCCTCGCATCACCTTTCAACATCTCGTGGAGTCACGAGGCGGCCCAACAAAGTCATCTGGTGGAGTCATCTCGTGGCCCAACGAAGTACTTATGGGGTGGTCATAATAATCTGGCCACTCAGTGTACATATGTCCAATGTCCAGCATAATAAAAGTACAGTGCTGTTAAACAGGGAAAATTCACTTCAAGGTCTGTCTAGCTGATGAGTGGTTTTCATTTTCCACCCAACATTCATTTTGTGCAGTTGGCTGTCCCACTCACGAAATTATTATGGTTGTTCGTACCAATAATTTCACAATTGGCTCTTCATCTAACCTTGCTATTCCAATGCTCCAAGAATTGTCTGCTCTAGTTCTCAGAAATAAAGACTGTTGATCTTGGAATCATATGACAAGAATGTGCAGTCCAACACACTTTCCATGTCTTTTGAAAAGTATTCTAACTTATCAGGATGTTGTTCTCTAAAATGATCACTGCATTTACATAGGTAAGTCAGCATGCTCCCTCTTGTGCATGCCTCATACTGGTGTCACAAAAGTAACCACATTATCATACACAAAAAGAAAAATGAAAGGGTATCCATATTCTCATACACAAAAGAAAAAAGGTACATCTTGGACACTATCAAAAAATGTAAAAGGCCTTTATTTGTACAAACATATTTTCTGAACAATACTTCACAGAGCTGGACTAATGTAGACAATGATACATAACAAAGTACAGCACAAGACTACCCAATTATTTAACATTAGCACTGGTGATTAAAATTGCAGTAATCATCAGTTAATGGAACTCATAAATTGCACCACACAAGATATTAAGTATCATGTCCTTATTTGTCCTATTGTCCATTCATTACATATAGACATTGGGGACTGTGAGATCACGCACATCAGTGGCAGAACGACCCATGCAGGCACTATGGGGCCCGCGACAGAGGGGGGCCCCGTCAGGAGCAGGGCTTAAAGTCCTCCCGGGTCCCGCCATAGGCACGTGAACAATGCAATACCAGGGAACTGGAGTGGACGGAAAGGCAGATCAGTCTCCGCAACCCCTGGAATTGTAGGTGGAGACAATGAATGGGCTGAGCTGCACAGCTTGAAGGGAAGGGCTCCTGCTGCCTTGTTTGGATTGGTCAATGAGAGGAGTGGGCGTGGTTTAACTTGAGACTTGAGTGTGGAGGGGAGAAAGTGGCGCGGTTGTGGAGGGGACAGAGGTAGGGAGTCATCTGCACTCAGTTGGTGATGGGGGTTGAGGCATAGCGCTGGCTGTTGCTGTATAGTGCTGTGATCTGTCACAAGCTTTCCCACATGTCTGCTGGCTATGCTACATGCTGGGTCATTCATTGCTGTGCCTGTCATCTGTCATTGTCCAGTACTGTACCTGCTCTCTGTCTTTATGGGCTGGTTCACACCATTTACAGTGTGTTCCAGCGCAGTTAGCTGCTGGAACGCACTGTATCGCATTCGCCTGCAAAAAATAGTGCTTGCAGCATTTCGTGGTTGCACTGGACCGGAACACAGGCATTATTCTGCCATGCATTCTGGTGCGGGCGATTGCAATGGGGGCGGGGGATCGTGGCTGCGGTGCCATTGACTTAAATGCACCGCCACGCCCCTCCCACCCCAGAAGGCAGGGGGGGAAGTTAATAATGCAATACAGTGTGTTCTTGTAGCTAACTGCACTGGAACGCACTGTAAATGGTGTGAAGAAGCCATAAACAGTGGTGTAACAACCGCCATAGCGTCCCACCCACGTGGTCGCTATGGGGTCAGGGGCAGAGGAAGGCCTGGTCAGGAGGCTAAGGCCCAGCAGCACTGGGGTCCGGCAGCGGAGAAGAAGGCTGGGGCCCAGCAGCGCTGGTCCGGCAGTGGAGGAAGAGGCCGGGGGCCAGCAGCACCGGTTCGATGATGGAGGCAAGGGCCCAGCAGTGGGGCTAACAGGTAAGAGGGGCAGGGACCCCAACCAGCTCACCTGAGACTCTGCAGAGCCTACCATAGAGAGTCTCAGTTGGGCTGTGCAGGATCTATGATGGGCTGTGCAGGGTCACTCTCAGATGGGCTGTGCATGGTCTCAGGTGACGTCAGAGCCAGCAGGATTAGAGCTGTAGAGAAGGAAACGGAGACGGCACAGGCATGGGAGCATGTTCTGGAGGTAGGTACTTTTTTTTCTAGGTGGGGGGGGGGGGATACAGTGGCTCTATTAAGCTGAATCAGACTTCAAAGGTGTAGTCGTTCAGGAGCCACAGCAACCCAGTTGCAGCTGCTGTGATTTTCTTTCCACAGTCAGGTTGATACATGTCAGCAAAGTTTTCAAAATCCTCAGTTCCTGTGAGAGCACTGGGCACCTCGGCATAAAAGTCAACAAGCACCAGCACTGTCACATGGGAGAAAAGGTCACATGCTCCACCATACCTAGAATAACCTGATATTTCTCCCAGCAGTTAAAAGAACATCGGGGGAAGTGAAGGGAAGATGAGTATGTTTGGCTAGTGGAGTCCGAATTAAAAGAAGAACTCTGGGAAAATTAAATATTTATTCTTGCAGTGTGGCTGCCCCCGCACTGCAAGGGTTAAGTGCTCGTTTTGGTCATCGCTCACCTCTCTTCCCCTCCGCTCCAGCCATTAAATGTCCCTCAGTGTCCTCACATCTAATGCAAGTCAATGGACCTGCATTGACAAGACGCGATGATGTCAGTGGTCCTTAGATTGCTGGAGCCCAGGGAAGAGGAGGCTGTGGGGACCAGTTTAGCAGACCGGAGGGAGCTGCGGGACTGAGGATCAGGTAAGTAAATCTGCTTAATTTGAATCCCTTAGACGAAACAAGCACTTAAACCTTGCCATGCGGGGGGAAGCCCACAAGGGCACATTTTTTATTTTCTTGGAGCTCTAAGTCTAAAGTGATCTGGTTTGCTTTGCCCTGCATGGGCAAAGCACTGTTTGTTTTGCTTTCAGGGTCACATGTATAGCCTTCTTTAAACAGTATGTAGTAGCATGATATCACAATAAGAGGTTTGGTATATTCTGTATATTAATTATTTTATTAATTATTTAAATCCCACATCTTAGAAAACTTAGCCATGGTGTATAGACCTCCTGAGTTTCAATTATCTGTTAAAATTGATTATTCACATTCAATAAATTATATATATATATATATCTATAT